CGGTGGTCTCAGCAAAATCCTGCCGTGCGTTCTAAGGTGAGTTGACTGGGGATTGTGTTTTATGGCACCCCCCCTGGAAGTTGCTTCCGTGGTCTATGGGGATGGACTATTTCGAAGTTTGAAATGATGTCTGCGGTAGGTCGCACTGATCTTTGACTTTCCAGGCTCTGACGAAGGCGACCAAGCCGAAACGTTAGCCGAATAAAGTCTTGTAACATCTTGGCTTGTGGCTTTAGAAGCAAATCTAAGAGATTCATTGATCAATCCCTTTCGGGGTGCGCCATGCATTTTACGTCCATTCGCAATGGTACTGACATTTTGAAGGCGATTTGGCCTATACAATGGTTTCGGATGCATCTCGAGGTGTTAGTCAGGATTTTCATATACTTAGAAAATTAGGTGTCAGCGATCCGAGTTCGGGACGGAATGCTTCCATTAGAAGAAATTGGGCCTGAGATTTTATGTTGAGCCGAGCACTTTTAAGCGACACCACTTCCAACTTGTTTCTTTTGGGACCACTATGGCAGCATATAAAATAGTCCAACTGGACAGAGGGTATGAGTATTAGTGCAACACCTCTACATCAAATGCGCAATGAGGCCCCTGTAATCCTGCGTACCGATTGAAGGAGGACTTCACGCTGAAGTCGAAGGCCGAAAAAGGGGAAAATAAACTAAAGGAAAGACAGATGGACCCTCTAAGGGTGCGAACCGTCACGCAATCCGCAGCGAAAGATATGCTCCCGACGACCTAGGATGGCCGCTATCGACGTGGCACACCATAATGGCTAACTATTCGCCGCAGGCCTCCTGCCGTCCGGAAGGGAGAGCGCTAACGTTGAAGAGAGCAGCACCGATGAGAGTGGCGAAGATCGGAGATCAATGCGGAAATCAACGGACAGGATGGAGTGTCACTGCTAGGGTTCTGGGCCGTTTCCTATGATTTTTCTTTATTCTGGCACCACTGACCGCCTCAACCCACCCCCCTTAATTCCAATGAGCTGCCCTTTAAACGTGATTTACGATGAAAAGGTGACCCATTAGAAGTTGAGGAAAGGGGTCAATGATGCACGGATAAAGAAAAAACAAGAAAAGCGGCTCAGAACCTGAGAAGGGAACCCCTTCCTTGCTTCGATTTCCGCACAGTTACAACTCTTAGCGGTGCCACCCTCTTCAACGCTAACGCTCTCTAAACGGCTAAAGTCACATGGTTAGCAACTACCCATCGATAAGCGTGCAGCGCGGGTCAAGCCCTAGTAAGCTGGGGGCTCCATTCGCCGCAACGCGCATCGTCCTGTACTCTTACCATTCACCTGCACGCCCTGGCTACTACCTTTTCCAATATAAATTTCTTCGACATCCGACCTTATTGCGGAATTCTCCTTCAAACTGTCCTTGGGTCTTCGGAAAACAACTAAAGTCAAGTCAACTCAACTCGTCGACACAGATGATCTTTTTCCCAAAAAGGACCAACATGAAATTCGGCGCGGCTGCGATCTTTGCCTTTATGACGTATCGGCCGGCTAGACACCAGATTAGTATTTCTCTTCAACATGCTTTATTGAGATTATTTCCAACTTAAGGTGAGGGAAAAATGCTAAAACTGAACAGGGAAGTTCGCGTTTCTTAGGACAATCATCAGAAGGTAGATGTTAGATGGAAAGAGTACACCGTTAAAATACTATTCTGGCAGAAATTTTTTTAGAGATAGCTAAAGCTTCCGAGTGAATCAACGAGAAAGAAATGACAACGACAGAGGCACCCTAGGAATGCGAAAAAGCGCGCCATGAAAAAAAAAGAAATAAATAAAAGCAGAATATTTACACTACAAGAAATCCAATAAGGAAAAATCACAACGTCTGGACTTGTTTTCCAACATTACAAGCAGATCACATCGTAAATGATGATAAGGTTAATGCGAGCATTCTTGAAAGAGAAAACATGCAATAAAAAGATTACTAGTACGGTAAGACTGTAGCTCAATCAACGGTGATGGTGGCTATGACCGAGATGATGGTTGTGGCTGTGAGCGAGGCCACTTCGCAACATGCCAATCTGTGTGGAATTATCCAAAGTTTGAGCGAAATCTCCGTGCTCGTGGTTATCAATCAGACGAGAGTTCGCAATAAGAGGAGAATCCAACCAACATGACAAGCAATTTCAGCAAATTTGGATGTTCATTGTCTCTTTCGTGTAGAAGAACCTAAACGAAATACGGTCACATAATGAATAACGGCAACCTGCAATAGAACAATGAACCTCAAAAAAGGTGACGTAGAGGAAAGTGCCGACTGCCAGTCCTTGAAGAATTGTTATGGCAACATCTTTTGCGAAGCTATTCTCAGCTGCAGACTGTACAGCCATTCCTATCACAGCTCCAAGGGGCGACATCAGAGCTAGCGTGAAAACCGATGCTACTACCTGAACATCATATTTATCTCAAACGCACGAATATTGTAGCAGAATGCATCTACCCATTGTAGTTGGTGCGCATGTGTGCGAGCCAATTGTAGACCAACTGAGAAAGCAACTATCAATTTGTGCACGAGAAGAGACAGAAATAATGCCGTGGTTTCCGATGCGTTATCCTGGAAAAGGAAGGATTCTTTCAATCCTCGAGGGAATTTGAAAAAAAAGAAAAGGAAAAGACAAAAAGAGAAGACGCGTACTCACCCCTACACCAAGTGCGACGCCTTCGATAACTGAATGAATTGACAACGCAAGAACGAAGGTGATAGAACGGACTCCATGGGAATGTGCATGTGGAGACGACTTCATAAGAATCGGAGGGTCTTCATTAACTGCAAAAAAAGTTGGTGTGTGAAGAAGAAATACAAATCTATCGTTTTGCAGAGCCTGTTGTAAGCCCGGGTATTTGACAGGAGGCCCGTCGCGCCGCGAGAAAGCAGAGAAGCAGACAGGTCAGCAGACGGTCGCGGTGCGCACAACTGATTTTGCATCAAATTGTCAGATGTACCACATCGCACAGCACGCACTGCGACTCATTCGCTGACCCGTCTCATTCTGCGTTTGTGCGACCTTGCCGCGCGACGGGCCTCTTGTCGGGTACCCGGAAGCTTCAAATCCGTCCAACGAAGAAAGCAACTTTATGAAGCCACAACCGAAGCAAAGGAGAACAATCGGAAGACTTACTTTTCTCGCAGTTAGTTTCACAAGCGCTCAGGTTCTGCCACAGCAAGCGAAGTGAATATCCTGAAAGAGCAATTGTCATTATTACACCACACACCTTGAAAACACTGAAGAGAATGGAACACTAGGATCCGGAAAAGAGCGTACTTTCGAGGATAACAGACTATAACATTACTCAGTATGACGGGAGAGGAGTGAACATGTACAAAGGCTAACCGTACAAATGTGAACACATCAGGACGAATAAAGGGACCAGCGTATGGGTAGGTTTATGGATAGGTACCCGGTGATACACACACCATCCTTGCGAATCGCGTTGTCTGAAGACTTTGGCAGATATGCAGCCGGTCGTCAACATCACCAGTTGAACCGACGCTGCCGTAGGATTGAAGACGTTGAAAGGAAGTAAGTCCAGTATACCTACAGTACGAATATGGTCTCGCTGATCTGTTTCAACAATTTGCAGGAGTACGGGTTCTCTGAGAAACATCTTAGTCATAGAATACCAAAACAATCAAAATCCGCAGATGGGTTATCTTTAAATGCAAAATTGGAGTACCAAGAGAGCTCTCCGTAGTAGACTAGTTTCAATACTGCTTAGATCAACCCATGAAGGTGTTTCGTGGGTTCAATCAAAGTGGCCCTCCGCAAAAAACCACGAAGGATGACGCCATACGACGCATGGCGTTAATTCGAAAATGCTGCACTTCACTCATTAGAAGCCGTACACTGAGGTTCCCGTAAGTCCGAGTTCTTCCGAACGCGATGCACTGTCAGTGGGCAGTG